TGATTTTATTTAACATTTAAGGCTGACCTGCTGATCATTTTCCCTCCAAATTTAAAGATGAATAGCCACATTTATATACTTTTATCCTTATAATGTTCAAAAGTCTTGAGATATTCTTCTTTTAAAATGCTCTCCTGCTGGTCACAAAATGCAATAAGTAAGAAATAAGAGAAAATAAGAAAAGCCTTGTGTTTCTGCAGTAATTACAGGTTGGGTGGTGGTAAAGACAGTATATGGGAGCAGGGAGGAGGAGGAGTGTGTATGTGAGGTATGTGTCCTTCTGTTTACATAGATGATTACAGAGGAGGGAGAAAACTGAAAACCAGACTAAATGTAGATTCAGATCAGAGAACATGTACCGTAAYTCCTTTTGTTTGTTTTTGTTTTGTCTCACAGCCGTGCCATATGTAAAAATAACATGTAGATTTGTCCGGAGATCAACCGCGGCGTGTTTGGTTYGTCTCACAGACGCTGTGTGAATATGCAGTAGTCAGTTTAATGTGGCTTTAATCACGTCTGTAAATAGAAACCCACCCTTACTGCTGTCTCTGTTCGGACAGGCCGGCTTAATATGATTTTCACATTTACACACACGTTACGTTCTCACTAGATTCCCGAACAAGGATTTCCTGTGTTTAGGAAGAAACGGGGGTGCAGCTTCTGTTTGCTGCTCACTTCTTTATAACATGATGTGGATCCACACATACCAGGGTTATTGTAGTTAACTAAAAGCAGTGTTGTATAAAGTACCTCAAAGTGATACTTGAGTAAAAGTACAAGTATCTTATCATGAAATACTTTGGTAAAAGTTAAAGTCTCCTCTAAAAATATTACTTCTGTAAAAGTCTTAAAGTATCTGATATTTTTTGTATTTAAGTATCAAAAGTAAATTTCTGACGCAAAATCTACTTAAGTATTAAAAGTAAAAGTACTGAGTAAAAGTGAGCAGTTAGATTCTCCAAAATGACATTTATTGGGAGGTGACTTCTCCAAAAACTATATTTTCTAACAGCGTGCAGCTGTG